GTCTAATCTACATAACCTGTTGGGTAAGTACAGGGCTGCATTCACTGTAAGAAGAAGACAAATTGGGAGTTGCATTTTTCTCCAACACTTGTCTTTTTAAGTTGCAGAAATTATTGCAGACATAAAACTGTGAACAGCTTTGTTCATTGAAGGGAACAAAAGCTCCAGATGAAATCTCCACAGCTTTGGCTTTGCAGCCAGATATTGATTGTAAAGGGACACGGCAGGCTGGGGCTGTTTTTATATGGAAGACATTTTGCAAATGGATGAGAAATAATGAGAATCAGATAAATCGGATCCTTAAGAGACAAAAGCAATGGATGAACACAAAGCTACGCATAGGACTGTTCTTTCAAACAAAGCAGTCCTTTCTTTCCATCCACCTTTCCTTCAACAGATTGATAATCAATTCTGCGTCCTGATGTTTAATCTATTCATTCTAATTTCCTGCTGGGTAGATACTAAGTGGAAGCAACTCCAAGCTGGTTTGGATAGTAAAAAGTGGAGAAATATAGGGAGTAAATTTCACATCCGTGGTTTCCATCTAGCGTATGTGGAGAAGAGAAGATAACTTTTGGCTAAAAAGTGACACTTGCAGATAATATTCATCCAAGCAGATTCTGTAAACATCTGTTCCGAACCACTGCTAAAAACTTTAATAACTTGTCTGTCACACACAATAATTAAGCCATGCCACAAACAATACAAGGTTAATATAGTGAAAGGGAAAACAATAAATATTTATCTTTAGAAGCTGCAGCATATTTGTCAAAAGCACTTAATAATTTATACTACATCTTTAGCATGCAACCCCTATAGATGCTTCTTATAAATCCTCCTCATTTGGTTTATTTGTCATAGTAAGCACAGAATTTGGATGGCTTATTCATGAAGATGCATGTCCTCATTAAAACTATTTTTCAGTTGACTTCGGGGTGTCAACTCATGATTAACCACGCTAATGAAGAGAAGAAACAGAACAGAAAACTCAGCATGGAGAAATCCAATGCAATTTATTTCTGGCATTGATATACTTTAATTTTGAAGCAGCATTTCCATCGTCAAAGCGATTTTACTTAAACAGCAGCTTTCACTGGTGGGTGTCTGTGGGAGGAGTGGGGTGAGTGGAGAACATAAATAAATACGAGTGAAGTGCTTTATATTCATATATGAGTAGAAACCAATAACCTGTTGAAATTGTTTTAAGGAAGGGAGGGGGAAATAAGGGAGGGGAGGTAGTGGCTTAAGTGGGGTACATTTTATGCATGTCTGGAAATAACACAGTGAACCTCTCCTGCATAACTACTGTATGCACTTTTAATGAAATTTGTTTTTCTTAAAATATATGAAATGAAATTAGCTTCCCTATTATATGTATGTATGCATGCATGTATGTAGGTACACATCTATGATCAGTTGTCAGTATAAATGTATATATAAGTATATATAGTTGTGAATTAATTTGTATTGATTTTAAGAGCCAAGTTTGCAGGTGCCAATGGATATGTTTACCGGTGTGAGTATATACATATATACTTATGTGCATTTGTGTGTGTGTGTTTATACACTAGGTAAAACTATACTCTTATGATAGAAAATGATACGATTTGTATAATGACATATTGGCATTTCATTCACAGGTACTTTAATTTCTACATATTGTGTGAAATAGTCTCTAGAAATGGAAATAAAAGTTAATTGACAATGCATTTGATCAAAATGGCAGAAACACCATCATAAGAAATGTTACAAACTGAGCATTAGTGGTTCATACTTATAATCCTAGCTATTCGGAAGGCTGAGATCTGAGGGTCTTAGCTTAGTACCTGCCCAGGTAGGAAAGTCTGTGACTCTCTTGCCTCAGTTAACCACCAATCCCCCCACCCCCCATGAATTGGAGCTGTGGCTCAAGAGATAGAACGTTGACCATGAGCACAAAGCATCAGAGACAACACCCAGCCCTTGAGTTCAAGACCTAAGATGGCCCCCCCGAAAAAAAATAAAAAGGAAAAAAGGGAAACTAAAAGTTTTATTCGAGTAATCTTCATTCCAATAGCTCCAAATCTTCATTTTCTTCACTTTTTTTCAGAAAAAAGACAGAAAATAGGAGACAGAAATAGGATAAATCAACTTATATTGATATGAAATATTCATGTAGTAATAAATAATATACAAGCATTTCAAACATTAAAACATGATGTTAATAAACCCAAATATATATAATTGATCATATTAATATATTAAATTATATCAACAAGTAATAGATGAAATGAAATATAACATTTAATTAAATATAAGAGACTTGAAATAAAAGATATAAAAGACTTGAAAATTATCATAGGCAGATTAGTGATTATTAAAAATAATTCTGAAATCAGAAAGTACAAGAAACCTATCTTATGTCTATATTGTTCAAATCCATATGTCAAGAAGAAAGTTTTGTCATTCAGTGTGGTTTATAAATAAATTACTACTTAGACTCAAGTCCAAAAACATATGCATCTAAACAGTGCTTCCTAATCTCAGATCTCAGCATCATTAGTAGCTAGAATTTCAGCCATGAGCAAGGCACCCAGATGTTTGTTACTATTTTTAATATAAAGCTTTCTTTATATTTATTGATCATATATAATTTATTTTATAAAGACTCAAGATCTGATCTGCAAAATATTTTTACACACAGAAATAACGGTACTCATTATTTCTCTAATGCTTTTTCACATGAAAAATAAAATGCATTTCTAAAGCATAAGCTTTAAGGATGAGAGTGAAAAGACAGTGGTTGGATTTAGTGTACAGTGAATGCATAGAAGGAAAAAGTTTTATCAATACGTACAATTAGCATGTATTCATAAATGTGTATGCAGTTGTGAAGCTAATACTATTTTTCGTGTTATCTGATGAATTTCTGTACCACACAGATGTTAAAAATGCAGTTAAGAGATCAAAATGATGCGCCCCAAACTGACTTGCCATTTTATAGGAATGTTGTACGAATAAGAATTTGATCTCTCAGAAGTGGTGCTGTAGCTCAAGTGGTAGCGCGCTCTCCTTGAGCTGAAGAGCTGAGGGATAGTGCCCAGGCCCAGAGTTCAAGACCCACGACTGACCAAAAAAAAAAAGAGTGAAGAATTTGATCTCTCCTCAACTCCATTTTCTCACCTACCTTCTAGAATTATTGCCATGATTAAGGAAATTAATATATATCAGATACAAAAGTGACTAAACATTGGCACTTCAGAAATACTACCTTTTACTCATAATAAGCTTCTTCTTCTTTTCTAATAAGGACAAACTGTTTCACAGGTTAAAACTTCTTTGAAAATGAAAATAAATTGGTCTCATACTTGTTAGTTTTCTCTACAGCAATAATAAAATTTACATAAGCAAGAGATGGTTCACTCTCATATACTGTAACACACCCAAAGATGGGGGGAACATCAAAGCAACTTTACGGTTCATAACTGGAGGTATCAAGTGTGGTAAGTTTGGGAGAAACACTTTTTTCATAGTTAATTCTCAGTTTTTAAGGTTTTTGATTCCTTTATAAAAATTCATTTTGCAAGAAACTGCATAAATACATTTTCATTCTGCCTGTTATTACTTTTATTTTCATTTTCTGATTTTAGTACTTTTTTATTTAGTAGTAACCCAAGTCAAAATGATCAATTTTGAGTTCAAAATGCAGATTCCATTTAAAAAAAACACCTCAGCATAATAGTATTATAGCATGAAAGATACAAGAAAGGAAATGATTTTGAAGAATTGGACAGGACGGCAGCGTCCTCCTCCTGGGTAATATTGGTATTGTTCATGTTAGTTGACTCTCATATAGGGTTTGCATGTGTGGCTTTCAATTACAAATATTCAAGTTGAAAACTTTGTGGACATGACAGAAAAATTCTAAGCTTTCTTTGGTATTTCATAACTCAATCGTTTACTCGTTTTCACTGGAGTGTGGATGTTTAGTAGCCTTACCCCTGGGGGTAAGACACAGTACTTGGAGTAGGGCTATTAAGATATTTCATGAATGGTGTCTTAGGGGAGATGCTCTGGGCATTGGGGCATGATCTGAAAGGAGATAGTAACACTCCAGTCTCTTCTTTTCCTGGCCTGGAGATATAAAGTGGCTTCCATCATCTTCTATGGCCAAGATGTGCTGCCCTCACCAGAAGGGGTCACTCAATCTGAGACCAGACTCAGAGCCAATCTAAACTTCTTTCTTTGTAACTTAATTGCCTCAAATATTTCATGACAGTGACAGAAAACTGACTGATGCATCACCGCTAATGCTTCAGCCAATAGTGTCTTTGGCAAGGATATTATTACCTGCAGTAGTAGATTTTGTTTTTCAAATTTCAAGTGGAAGATTCCTGAGATCTAATATCATGGAATTCAGAAAATAACCCTCTTATATAATTATGATATCACAGAGTTTGACGTTTTTGTTGTTGTTACCAACGTAGGGTATTTTTCCATCCATTTCTACTGCTTTACTTTCTTTAGGTAAGCTAACCAGAAACATATGTTGTATGTTCAGAGATAGGAGAACACGAGCATGTAGTGTTCCCTTTTGGGTCATGCTGGCCCTCAGATGCTGCTAATTACTAAGGTGGTCTGTTTAAAACAAACCATATATTCACTGATAAGGTGACATAAGAACAATTTTTTTTTTTCAATTCTCGACAAATACGTCTATTTCCAAGTTAATGCACTTTAAAATTACATGAAGGGCTTTGTGTCAACTAATAAAAAATGGCAATGTCTAAAAGCCAAAATCTATAAGCCAAACATATTTAAAAATAAAGCTTGACACTGTCATGTTACCTAGCTTACTTTCCAACTATATTCTCCTGAAATAAGCATCATTCCCACATGCAGATATATTCATAAAAAGTTTGATTTTGTAATTTTAATAGTAACATTTAGTAGTATCATTTTTAAAGGACAATGTTTATGACTATGGAAAGGATTTTATGTTGACACAATTAGATTCTTACCTTGATCAAAGGGTTTTCCTGGACTCCAAGTGCGAAAATAATCATCCTATGAGGGAAATAATATGAATTGAGTTCACACGGGTAATTGAAATGTAAGGACTTATGTAAAATCTAAAATAAAATAGGAAACACAGAAGCTGAATACAAACCTCTACTTCCTGCAATGGCAAGCGGCAAATTATAAATAAAATAAAATAAAAAGGAACAAGAGAAAAAGAAGAGTTATCAAAAGGGAATACAGTGCTCACAAAGTACAGAAATGTCAACAAATGAATTTATTTTCATTGCAAGTCAATGGTTGCTATGACAACTTAACTGTTTTGGTTGCCACTTCTTTTAAATACTATAATCCATTTCTTTCAATTACAATCAATGGGTAATATTACATGTAGATAATTATCCTAAGCTAGTAAACTATAAAGTGTCTGACTACTTTCTAATTATACAACTTCATTTCCCACTAATACAATAGTAAATGGATCGATTTATATAACAGGAAAAAAGTGATTTTGCAATAGTCTGTAGACTATACTTATACTGTATGCAAATCATTCACTTGTTAATTTAATATAAGAGAAGTCCATCACGATACAATTAGGAACTTGAAAAGATGCACATCTAATTAAATCCTGGAGAACTTCTAAATCTTTAATGCAGAACAAAAATCCATGCAATCTATTTACAATATATTTAGTAAATATAAGTTCACACCACAAAAACTGGGGTCGTGTTAGCAAAAGAGACTTTTAAAATCAAAGCAAAATGGACCAAGTCTATTTTATCACACCTATGATCTTTCACTGGAAAGAAAAAAACAACCCACAGTTCCAATCAATGCATTGTTTTCACTACAATAGGCTCTGCTAAAAAAGAGAGCAGGTAAACAGCAATGTGGTAAAATTCCTACCCTAGATGCAAAGCTATGAAACTGGAAAAATCTGAAAAGGATCAGCAGAGATTTTTTTAGTTCATTTTTCTTTTCTATTTGCTAATGTTTTCTAGTGCATAAAACATAGCAGACATTTTCATTATTGATAGAATCACAAATATCTCTGGAAAAAATTTTAAATGTAGTTTCCCCATTTTTTTTAATTCAAATAGGCTTCCAACAGCACTTTGTCTTCTCCTACTTACCTGCTGCAAATGAGAAGAAAATGACAGCAAAGTAAAGCCACAAAAGACATCTTTGCTAGCCTTGTATTTATGCCCCAACTGTGGTTAAGAAATGGGGTAATGGATGGTAATTCATGCCAGTAGATTCAGCCCTAAAGTATGTAGGATTAGGTGAGGGACAAAAATGCCTCCGGATAACTAAATAAACAGTCATTGTGGCCTCCCTTTCAACTTTCTTTTAAAAAATCAAAACAATTATAACTACTGGAAAGTGGCTTAATTTGCCAAGCACTCACCTTCCCTCCTGACAGCCATATCTTAGAATCTTCTCTCTTCCCCTTCCCCTAAAGAAATGCACCGGTGGTCTTGGAAGAGAGTCTGAGACCAAGGCCACAGGTGATGCTCAGACCCCTGCCTGACACAGAGGCTGCTGAGACTTTGAAACTGCTCAGTCCAAATAACATTGCTCATCCACGCACCTGCACCTCCATTTTACCCAGCTTCCATCTGTCACTCCACTGCCCCAACTTCATTCTTTCTGTCTAATATTTAAAGAGACCCTGGGGTAAATGAGTGATGTGCATCTCCTTCAGCCTGGCTGAAGGTAGTTGCCCTTCCCAGGCTTCCTCCCAACTAAAGCCTGTTGGTCTACTGAGCTCACCTTTTGCTCTTTCTTTATTCTGATACCCTCCTGCCTCAGTTTCCTTACAATAACATGTTAGAGTCCTTAGAAAACACAGCTTTCCAATTAAATCACTCCATTTAGAATCTTAACAACTGGAGATCAGGCTCAAAGAAACTGATTTAAATTTGCCTCTTAGTGTTCAGGAATGATGAGTTGCCTTCATTCCTGGCATGGGGGTGGGGGGAAGTTGAACAGCCCCCCCCACTAATCCCCGCCAATCTCTCTTTTACCCTAACAGAAGCTAGAAAGAAACACATGAAAAATGGATTTGGAGTCAGTCGCACTTGAACTTGAGGTCTCGTTTTCCCAGAGAACACCATCAAACTTTAAACAAGGTGATCAACATCACAGAACCTTCTATGTAGGTTGAAAAAAATGACTTATTTGAGAGGGATGCTTTAGAGATTACTCACAAAGTTTTAAAAACACAAGGCACCATATCTGTCTGACCTGGAGGAGGTGCTACAGTCAACAGCTACTCACAGGTGTCAGCATTATGCCTACTTTTGGTCCTCAGCTACACTGAGACCTGCTGCCCCTCCCTCTCTCCACCCAGACCCACCTGAACTCCCATCTACCTCATTCCCTACCCCCAGATCCTGCTGCTACCTAGATAGTGGAGGCCGCCTTGCCCTCTGTCTCCAGGAGACATATGGCTCTTCTAATAAACCTTGCAATAATCTTTCTCCTGTGCCTGCCCGCCTCTGGTGGTCCCCTGGCAGGATGAGACAGATCCTTTCAACAAGAGTTAAGTTCATCAATGTTAGTGTCTTTGGGAAACACCATTGGATGAGCTCTTATTGCTGTTGACAAAGTCCTTTAGATTTCCTATTTCTTAAAAATTAACAATGTAATCTTCCCTCCAACATAACATAATGGTAAAATATAATCTCACTCATCTGTTATTAACTCCCTTCCAAATCACATAATCACATTTGGTTCTTTTGAGGTAAAGATAAATTAAAATTTATAATTACAATGTAAAAACATAAGCCTGGTTCATTGTATAATGTCAAGGGCAACCTTCGAGGCCAGCCATTGGACAGAAAAGCAAGCTCTTCTTTTAAACTATTTTTAGTTGTTATTCTTTGTGTTGTCACTTCACTGGGCTTTTTCACTTTTTTTCAAAATGGTTTCACTTCATTAAGTCTTAGGAATTTTGCCAGGATTAGAAATAAAAGTATTTCTACATAAGTGTTCATTCGGGCGCAATTTCTTTTGTTTCAAAAAAGACTTTTTGTGAATATAGGTTGTTTTTGAGCTTCAATTTAGATCCAAAATAAGCCAGTCAGGGATTTAGAAAACAATTTCAAGAAATGTTTCCAACGGGAGAAGTTTAGGTTCAGGCAACTACAGCCAATCTTGAGTGATCCAGCAGACACAGTTGAATTCCTGTCACTAGCATTTGAAATCTTACATAGGCCATTTATAGACACTTTCAGAAGTTAGCTGTAAAAGCTAATGTCACATTTGTACAAGTTTCTTATACTTAAAGAAATAACAAATGTCATATATATATATATATATACCCTATATATATATATATACCCAATATATATATATATATATACCCTATATATATATATATAAATATACCCAATATATATATATATACCCTATATATATATATATATACAATATATATATATACCCACATACAACACAGTTTTCCAATCTAGCATTATTGATATTTCAGGCCTGCTAATTCTTCCTGTTTCGAGGACCAGGGATTCTGTTTAACATTTTGGGCCTGTACTCATGAGATATCAGATTTAGCCTCAAGAAATCCTCCTTCAAGATGAAATGTCCTCTGGGGGAAATGTCACTCATTTAAGGACACAGATGAAGAGATGTTGAAAAATACAGGAAGAAAATGGAATACAAAACATCCTACAACCAATAACAGACATTTCCATCACACAAGTTTTACAACATTGAGAACATTTTATTACAAGTGTCTGACTTATTTTATTTTTAAGTTATGGAACAGTGACCTTCACCATTTTGTATAGATTTACCCTCATTTATTTTTACCTTCATATGGGCGTGCTTGTATATTGTATATAATATTTTGTAATAATGAACCCAATAAATTAATATAAGACAAATGTTTATTTTCTGATATATGGAAAATACAAATTTAGAAGTTGATCAGAGGGGATGAACCCTATATTCACAGAACAATGAAACTACTTTCCTGTTAGAACCAGTGACAACAAGGCTTTAAATTAGGTAAAATGAGTCCAAAGAAGTTTAAAGCTCTGGGTGTTCATTGGGGCTCATTGTGTCCACAGTACTATATCTGCACTGAATTTTGGGTGGGGGGAGGGAGTGGGGAGTGATACTGGCTTGAACTCAAGGTTTAGATGCTGTCCCTGCACCTCTTTGAGTTTCAGGCACTACCACTTGAGCCACAGCACCACTTCTGGCTTTTTCTGAGTACTTTATTGGAGATAAGAGTTTCACAAGCCAGGCACCGGTGGCTCACACCTGTTGTAATCCTAGCTACTCAGGAGGCTGAGATCTGAGGATCGTGGTTCAAAGCCAGCCAGGGCAGGAAAGACCGTGAAACTCTTATCTCCAATAAACCACCAGAAAACCGGAAGCGGTGCTGTAGCTCAAGTAGTAGAGCCCTAGCCTTGAGCTGAAGAGCTGAGGGACAGCGTTCAGGCCCAGAGTTCGAGTCCCACAACCTACAAAAACAAAAACAAAAAGTTTCACAGACTTTTCTGCACAAGCTGGCCTCCAACTACAAAATTCAGTTCTTAGCCTCCCGAGTAGCTAAGATCACAGGTGTGAGCCACCAGCACTTGACTTGCAACTTGTTTTTTCTGAAAGAATAATGTGGATTGGCATGAAATGAGCTCGGGATTGTTTAATCATCTTCATGGCTTTTGAGATCAAGATCAGTTAGGAATGGGAAAGTCATGATGCCCAATAACTCTGTGAATGTCTAGAGAAAAAGTAATGACGCAGCTAGCCAGTAAGCCATGAAGCTGCTCCTTCCTGCAGTGAAGGTCTCTAAGCCCAGTAACATATTTCCAAAGTAAACGCTTGGCAAGAACTTGCTTAGAAAACACTACATTTTCTAATAATAATGAATAGAGGCACTACTGAAGTCTATTGGACATGAGTTTCTCTTGTATGTCCATAACCGTTTTTCCATGTCCATTAAAAAAAACGATTAAATCTCTTCCAACTCTAAAACATATATATCCAATCATAAAAGAGATACAGAAAAAACAAAA